TAGCTGTCACAGCAGGCTATCTAAGTCAGATGCTTACATTCAAAACTCATTATTGTTTTAGAGATGCAAGAAATGTCAATAAATAATGTGACTCAAAACCTCCTCTGTCATAGCTGCAGGGCTAGAAAATGTAGCAGTAAAATATGAACGCTTACTAAAATCAAAACAAAACAACTATTGGGTCTAAATGTGAAACAATTAAAAAATGTATGTTGGCAGTCATAACAATAAAATAAGCTTCATTTCAACTATTATGTTTCTGTATGACTTGATTTTTATTATTTGCTCACAAAGTGAAATTCTGAGAACAGTCACTCTTCTCAAAATATTTTGTAAGTGATACAATTTATAATTTTAGTAGTCAAGTGTCAGCTCCACCTATAAGCATGGACTTCAAAACACTGGACTAATAGATATAATGAAAACAAAACGTAATGTGTAAATATATTTAATATCAGTATTATGAAGACAAAATTAGTGATTTTTATTTTTTTTTGCTTTCAAGTGTTCAAATTTCAGAATAGTGTGCTGTTCCTTGTCCTGTTTAGTTTGCTGTATAGTAACCAGGATGTTGTGAATGAGCAGCTGAGTGAATAAATGACTATTTCAAACACAGTCTAACTTCCTGTATAGTGACTTCTTCTGAGCTGCATTGTTAACACTAACTTGCACATGCAGAGATCTACTTTGTGCTAAGTTGTTTTTAATAATGTGCTCTTTATAACAGTACTACAGCTAACTATGCCTTTTTAGCTTCACTGCTAGTAAAAATAATATGTGCTGCTTTTTGTTTGAAGTTATTGTTGAGTCAGATTGGAATATCCTTTAGACATCACAAGTAGGGGGTGTGTTCCTAGCATCCCTGACTTCCTGTACCCGACTTCCTGTAGCACTTTATGCTTTGGTTGCATGGTGGATCAGACCATCAAACACTAATGTGCATTCATGTCCCTTTCTGTCTTTTTTTTTTATTTTTTTTTTATCAACTTTGCAATTGGCACAGCCCCATATATTTAGTTTTTTCCATGGTCATAGACTTTCATTTTAGCTCATTTTCAATAAAGTCCTTGAAGTCTTCTGTGGTTTAACTGTAATTAAAGTACAGACCTTAATGTTAAAAAAGTCACATTATGAGTATAGCGGCAACAAGTGTACAGTAGTCCCTCGTTTATTGTGGGGGATCCGTACCCTGAAGCCCTGCGATAGGTGAAAAATCACAAAGTAGGAATAGTAGTACAAGTAGTAAGTAGTAGTTTATTTTAGTATATATAAAGGTGTTTTAAACTGTTCCCACACTCTTGCAATATTTTAAACAATGTTTCTAAACTCTAAACGCTCTAAAAGAGCACAACATGTCATGAACTCAGCTCTCTGTCATGGCTGCACTTTTCTCTCTCGGCCACGCCCACTTCTCCACTGCAGAAGGAGATTGACAGAGGAGGAAGGAGGCGGGAGGAGGAGCTGCAGGAGGAAGTTTCTTCTGCAGTGTGGGCTGCAAGCTGTACAGCATGTGCTAAATAATTTAAAATAACTTATTTTGAATAAAAATTCCATATTGATCGTGCGGCTCATCCATCAATAAGCCAGCTGTGTGTCATATACAATCTTTTTTTGAAAAACCGCGATAGAGCGAGTCTGCGAAAAACAAATCACAAAGTAGCGAGGGACTAGTGTAGTTTATTACTCCATCCACATGCAGCCACTTCAGCACAGATACATCAGCAGAATACTCCCACCACCAGCAAACAGGAACAACTTGTAAAAAAAAACAGAGTTGAAAACAATTATAGTGTGATTTCTTCTTTTCCACAGAGAGCAGTATAAAGTTTATCTTGCCTTCATGGTTGAAGGTGTGCATTCTGCTACACGCAGCTCCTCACCAAACGTCTCACTGTTCTCTTTTTTTCAAAAAATTCACAATTTCACACAAATGGGCCCATGTACAGTCTCACATTTACTCAGTAACAAGACTACTGTACACAAGCACGGCCTCAAACAACATCCAGCCTTGGAAAACCAGATGCAGATGGACAGATGCTGTGCAGGTAAACGTTTGCAGTGTTGGCAACTGCCTCTTTAAGTTTGCTAATATTTCTGAAAACAAAACAAAACTGGAATATCTTGCTAAGAAGAAAACTCACAACCCCATAGCATAGATTACGTTCACACTGCAGGTCTTAACCCTCAGTTCCAATTTCTTGCACTAAGTGGACTTTTTTGTTAGTGTTGTTGTTTTTTTTATTTCACATTGTCATTTAATGTGAGCTCCATCTGACCCCAATGCGAACCTTTAAGGAAACGTGATGTCACATGCAACATGTCGTTTTTTTTAATAAACTTTTTTTTTAATTTCCTGATGCATGCTCAATAATCCAGGTAGAAAATAGCAGCTGGTTTTGGTTGTCAGCAGCAAACTGGTTGATCCACCCAGAGACGGTGCTATTTAAGAGACTGAGCTGAATACAGCACCTCAGACTGAGGAAGTCTCTTGGATGAGAGACGAAACGTTTCTACATTTTTTTGCTTTGTTTTGTTTTTTGTTATATTTGAATGTCCAGAGGACCAGATTTAAGTTTTTTGGATTTTTTTTTTTTATTGATTTTTGATTTTAACTTTAAGATACAGAACAAAAAAAACAAAGAACAAAACAAACCTCCCACACCATATCAGTCAAAAATACACAAACAAATTAAACAGGCATTGACGTGATCTCCGCACACAACACAAAAGGCCGCCAAGTGTCCCACAATCTTTTAACAGAACGCTTCAGGGTATATCTTTTTTTTTTCAAATGGATATGATACATTGCCTCTCTTATCCAATGTACATATGCTGTGGGGTGTAGGTCCTTCCAATTGCACAAAATTAGCCTCCTGGCCAGAAGAGAGCCAGAGGCAATCACATCCTTCTTGCATTTTGATCCTAGAACATCTTGCAAAGCGATCTGAAGCTCTCGACCTTGGCCTCTCTAAGTGGCCTCAAACAACTGCTAAGTTCATGGCAAAAACCAATGCAGACATGTTCCTGTTTTTATTATTTTATATCGCTTAATAATGTAGTTGTTTTTGTTTCTTTTTTTATATATCATCTTCTTCAATTTATTTTTCAGTTCATATGATTTATTTTGAAGATTGCCTACTGTTGTTGTCATTCTTTGTTAAAAACAGGTCTCTCTTGTAAATGAGTCCTCGAGGCTCAATGAGACTAACCTGTATAAATAAAGGTTGAACGAATTTGCTGAAGGATGTATCCACAGGGACCACCCCGAACAGTGAGACGAGTGGTGATGGATGTGTAGTTTTGCCACATATTCCAGAGAAGGTGTCAAAAATCCAAAAAGTTTGCAGTTTGGGACAGGTCCAGAATGTATGCAGCAGTGTAGCTGGAGTTTGTTTGCACCAAAGCATGTCGTGTTTAAGGAAGTGACTACTGATGATACATATTTGAGCATGTGCGTATCTATTCTGAAGTGGTTGTGCAATCACAACCGATTAAATTAATATCTGACACACTTGTTTGGTCCAGAGTTTATATTTATTCTTGCCGTTTCTTCCAGCGCAGAGTTGTAATTTTGGAATAGGATAAATGCATTAAAGGTAGAAACAAACTCAAGTATTGATCCCACCACGTTAGTATCTGAAACTAACGTTAGTATCACGTGCTGCTGTAGATTTTCAGTCATCCAGGCCATGGGAAATTCAAAGAACAAATATGACGCAAGTGAACTTAGGTTCTGTAGCTAAAGACATGCAACGTTCCAAGATTTAAACTGCAAAAGATTGGTGATAAGATTATTAACACTAGAATCAATCTGCACACCCCTGCTAGTTGACATAAAAGTCAGATGAAGTGCGACATGACTGTTCAGACTGCAGTCACTTTGAAAAATATTGGATGTGTATCAGATTTAGCACCACATATAAAAAAAGATGTGGGTCAGATTAAATACAATTGGATTTATCACGTTCAGATTATCATGAAAAAATTGATATGGGTCACATTTGGGCAAAACAAAAATAGATCTGAGTCATTTTTGCCTGCATTGTGATTTGTCACAATTTAAAAAAAAAAGAAGTTTTTTTTTGGTTTTGTGTATATTAACGAATGGGAAAGTCGTTTTTTTTTATTTTTATGCAGCTGTAAAAATGTAACTCTCAGTCCTTTGCATTATAACTTTAGAGTGTGAACAAGTACATAAACCTCAACCGACTTAAGAGATACTTTCAAAATTGCCTGTCTCTTCCGGCAATCTGTATTTGTCCTTACATGTTGTCGTGACAACTTCTGAAATTGCAAAAATTCTCCAGCAGTGAAAATCAAAGGTTTTCATAGAGATATTTGGGCATTGAAGCTGACAATGCTTTAACATTATCTTTTGTACAAAACAGAATTTTTTTAGATCCTCGAAGAAAACTGAAGTTTACGAGTTGTCTGCAAGTAGTTAGCCATGCTTTTTGTCTGCAACTGCTGCAAGGTATGACTTAGTTCTAATATTTATCTGAAGAAGTAAGCTAGACTTAAAGTTTTGGAGCGGTGCCTTTATTTATTCATTTATTTACTTTCTTTGCATCTGAGGTAGACTTCAAGGAATCAGGTCTCAACTCATCCATCATAGCAGAGCAAATTGTCATTCATAAAATCCTACAATAAAAGACACAATTATCATGCACACGCACAAATCAGCTCTCCAATAAAGCAAAGTCTCAAACGTTCAACAGACTCCTCTCGTTTGGACCTGGTTTTCTTGTATTCAGCAAATCCAACAATGCACCTGCCCCATTACAAATGTATTCACCATTTCAGCTAATTTAACTTTTGCAACTTGGAGAGCTAATCTCCAACTTGTATCAACTGTCCTTGTCCTCGCAGCCACAGCTAGTGTCTCCCAGATAACTTATAGACAGCTGCACACACATTCTGACCTGAGCAAACAAACCCAAATATGCAAATGTCTTGTAAAAACTAAAATAACAGCATGAAGTGAGTAAAGATCGACAGACCTGTAAACCAGCGTGTCATCCCCAGAGCTGTTGTACTGCACCTGGAACATTCTGACTCCAGATGTAGGCGTTTGATTGTTCCACCTAATGAGGGCAGAGTTTCCAGTCAGTTCCACCAATGAGACCCTCCTGTCTGCCCCTCTCGTCTCATTGTTAGGCAGCGCAACCTTGGAGGAGGTTAGGATGTCAGAGGGTGCGGGCTCAGAAGAAGGATCCCGGCTGCGGCTTGTGCTGTTCGCAAGATGAGGCACTGCTGTGACGACTAACTCCACCCTTCCTGTGGATTCACCTGCCGTATTTGAGGCGATGCAGGTGAAGTTTCCTGAATCCTTCACGTATGTGATGTTGATCTCCAGGCTCCCATTGGGGAAAACTAGAGTTCTAGAACAAAAGGACATTTAGATATCATGAAGAGGGATACTGTAAGATCATATTTGATCACTGTTTTATTTTGTCTAGTTATTTTTCTTTTCAACAAAAGCCACTTCAACATATGCAAGGTACAAGCAAAACAAAAATATCATGTTTAAAATGTGGAAATCAAGTCCTGGAAGTGACGTTGTGAAATCACACAAGACATTGTGTGATTCGTAGCAGTTTCAAATTTGGTTTCCAGTGAAAAATATCAACATTTCATCCAAACATGAGTGAGGAAATAATCTGCTTGATATTTGCTCTAACAAGAAGATTGACAAGAATAATTGATTTTTTTTCTCTCGCTTCCATAAGCCCTATTTTTTTTTTTGTTGTTGTTGTCATTATGTAATTACTTCCATTAGTAGTTCTTGATTTTCAGTTTCCCCTTTGCCATGTCCTACTTATTGTGTCCAGTTTAGGCGGTACAGCAGTCCCTCGCTACTTCGCAGTTCATTTCTCGCTGACTCGCTCTATTGTGGTTTTTCAAAATAAGACATGACAAAAAATTGACTAAGCTACACGATCGGCATGGGCATTTTATTTAAGATAATTATTTTAAATTATTTAGCACCTCCTGCACCTTTGTGCAGCCCTTATTGCAGGATAAACTTCCTGCTGCAGCTGATCAGCTGTCCTCCGTGCAGAGAGGATAAGTGGGCGTGGCCAAAAGTGCTTGCAGGTGGCAAAAAGCAGAGGAGGAAGGGAGCTGTAATCATGACATTCTGTGCTCTTTTAGAGCATTTAGAGTTCAGAAACATTGTTTAGAATATTGCAAGAGTGTAGGAAATGTTTAAAATGCCTTTATCCATGTACTAAAATAAACTACTATTCCTACTTTGCGTTTTTTCACTTATCACGGGGCTTCAGG